CTTCGTCATCCATTTACAGCTTCAGCATCATCATCATCCCGAGGGCCATATCTTCAGTGTAGCTCATAGAGGAGGCCTCTCTCTCTCTCTCTCTCTCTCTCTCTCTCTCTCTCTCTCTCTCTCTGAAACCCGCAGATTCGCCGCAGATTCGCTTTATTCGGGTTCAATAACGTGGTTGTAGGCGTAGTAAAGGTCTCAAAGTTTTTGTGAGTTTCATCGAGCTAGTTGGCTTTGAAGGGTCTCGTAACGTTGTTTCAGAGATTAATTTTGAGGGGGTGTTTGGACTTGCGGCTTGGGGTTTCGTGGTGTAAGGCGCACCTACAGACCTGCACATGCCCTGAGCCCTCGATTCCTTTAACTCCCGGCGATCCAAGAGCTCCAAGCTGTGGACAGAGCGTGTTTTTAATCCTACCATGGTCTCAAACTAGCCAGATATTTGTCTGAGGGAACCCGATGTACCCGAACTTTGCTGGTCGTCTGACTCCGACATGAGCTTTCCTACACCGTCAACCCTTAATCCCCACGCCCTCAACCCCCTAACCAAGGCCTGGGTATAGCCCTCCCTCAATCCAAGGAGGCTGGGCCTGTTTTGTGTTGTTTCTTCACGCGCTCATTGGTGCTTCTGTGGGTTTGGTCTAAGGTTTGATGGTTTAGGGTTTAGGGGTTCAGGGTTCAAGCGTGTGGGTCCCTAGGGTTCCTGATTATAGTTCGAGTATAATATCATATGCTCCAAAGCCTATTCTAATTAATTACTAAGGCCCTTACAGTAGTCGGATGGAGGGCATTCAAGCAGGTTTGTTTGGGGTTAACACATGGTCAATGTAGGGTCGGAACATTTGTCATGACATTTCCCTGTAGTCCGTATATGTTCATACTATTCGATACACCAAAACCCTAGTCTAATCATTTAAGCCTCGACTCCTCGACATTTTTGATTACGTGCTGGGCTCAGTAAAAATGAATGGCAGCAGATGCTGCAATTCCTGTTGAGGGGACTGGGGCTTTATCAGGGTTTAGGGATCCTGTGCAGCAGCCCCCTTGGGTAGCTTCAGCGTCTGGGGATTTTGAGATTCTGTTTTGCGTGCAAGTCGATGCATTACGGGCTCGTTCATATTTGGCACTGTTGTCATACCAGTGGCGAGTTGCCCGGCTCGGGTTTCCATCTGACGCGCCCAGGGCGCTGCAAGGAGCAATTTGTTGAGTGACAGTCTTAGAACTCCGCCGGCATGCTAGGCCTACCGCAGGGCTGAAGTAAGTAGCGGCAGGGGCCGCGAGGCCACACTGATCATCTGATTGATCTCGAGCGTCCGAAAGGTTCAGCGTTTGCCTTTTTCGGCGCCGCGTTTGGTTGCCGTTGCCGGTTCTTTATGTCTCCAAAAGCGAAGCGACACGAAAAAGCGCAAATGTCGTCGAGCACCGGTTCCGAAATCACGGAAAGTTAGGTTACGAACTTTCAAGGACAGAAACTTGCTGCTTTGTTTTCCTCGGCTTTGGATCGAACAATATGAGTCCAATCGGCTGGCCAATGCTGGTTTCAGCTTACTGCCAACATGCCAAACACCTTGTAGGTGCCGTTTCAACAACAAGGACACCAACACCGCTGCAACGTCAGATATGCGCTCGGTGTATGTTTGTGTGTGTGCCCCAGAACGCTCCGTACATATATTCACACAATATCGCACTTGAAAGTGTGGGCCTTCGATTTTGGCTTGGACATTGACTTTGCCTTGGGCGCTGCTGCCTGTGTGAGATTGCAGATCGGATGGCAGGCGCCCATAAAATGTTTCACGTCAATACAAAAGCTTTGGCACGCATTGGCAAAGCCACAGGTTCGTCCAACTTGTCCCTGTCACTGCCTGTGTAAGCTGCTGCCTGGGCGTGGAATCTATCACTGTGCTCCGGACACCGGACACTCACGGCGATCCGACTATGCCACATTGCATGGCATTTCCCACCAATTGTCGCCGAGAGCGCACCATCTGTACAGGGCAGTGTGCCAGCTGTCGCATGGTCGGGAATCATTGGCGGGGTTGGGTTTTAGGGTTATAATGCTCATCAGCGACATTGTGCTTGCTCTGAGTAATCGTTGGCATCAACCTGTTGACGATCGGATTGGATGATGGATGTTCAGAGGCCAGCAGACTAACATTGATGAAATGAGTGACAATTGTATGTTCACACGCAACCAATGTACCAACTTCTGTGTGTACTTGTGTTTACGTGTTTGATTATGTTGTTGTTGTTGTTGTTGTTGCTGCTGCTGTTGTTGTTGTTGTTGTTGTTTGATACACTGGGCATCTGTGTGTATCGCTCTCTACATTAAATACACTCTGTATACATATATACACACATACATATGTGTTAAATATCTGCATACGTGCAAATACACCCAAACCGGTGTTTGCTGTTTTGCCAGCGTGTCTGAGCTTGCGCTTCTCTCTGTGAGATTTTGGGGCTCCGGTGTTCAGGCGAAGACCTCGCCATCATATGTTGCAGCCACCCAAGCGGGGGTAGGGTAGGGTTGGTTGCTGTTTAATTGCGTTGCAGGGTATGTAGTGGTGGCAGCGGCTGTGGGATGCTGCATTTGTTCAGCGGTACTCCACACAATTTTGTGTACCGTTCGTCCCAACATCAGTACAAGTTTCTGCTTTCCCGCGTCATTGGGAATTTCAGACAGTCGGTGACCTTGATATAGAAGCCCACCTAGCAGAATCTTTCAACATCCCCAACAAACAGCCCTAACCAAGACCCTTTTAGAATTTTAGATACCTTTAAAAGAACTTAAGACTCACGCCCCAAAGACCGATCCTCCAGATCCACAGAGGCAACATCCTAAACTTTCTAAACCCGAAAGCACCTCAACCCTGCGCCCTAAACCACCATGTGGAGGCTTAGGGTTTGGGATTTATACAAGATTAAGGCATATTATAACCCTAAGACTCCAAGAATACAAACGATAGTACTTACTGTGGGCTCTAAAGTCTATAAATGGGACCTACTTTGAGCCATTTGGAGTCTTAGGGTAACTGGGGTCAGAGCTAGGGGAACTATAGTTACAACCCATCAGGGGTTTATAACGCCATGTATGACTAGCCATGAGCCTCCAAGCATCGTCCAGCCTTTTCAAAGCCACACAAGGGCGCTCCCATCCTTTTCACTACTGCAAAGAAGCTTTAGCTTGTCTGCAAAGAAGCTTTAGCCCCAAATCCTAAACCCGAAACCCGAAACACCCAAACCCCTAAACCCCTAAAGCCCTAAACCCGAAACCCTAAACCCTAGGCTGGGCCTTTAAGTTGTTGGTGACACCGTTTGGGTTTGGGGGCTCGCAGGGCTTAGTCCCCGAGCCCGAAACCGTAGGGCTTTAAACCCTAATTAATCACTCTACCCCCCCCACCCCCCCATAGGGTTTAGGGTGTAGGGTAGTTAGGGGTTTTTAGGGTAGTTAGGGTAGTTAGGGTAGTTTGGGGTTTAAGGATTTAGGGTAGACCCTAACTGCCCTAGCTACCTAGGGACATGGTGCATGTCAACCTGCCGTGCGCAGCTCGTCCGTGCTCAAATCCCGCAGCTTGCGGTTTTGGGTTCATGAGGTTGGTGTGGGTTACATCGATCAAGACTTCGGCCCTAAGCTGCAAACCCTAAACCTTACTAAAACCCTAAGCCCTAAACCCTAAACCGAGTTTTACCCTAGACCCTAAACCCTAAGCCCTAAACCCTAAACCGAGTTTTGCCCTAAACCCCAAGCCCGGAACCGTAAGCCGTTTTTTACCCTTTTTAAACCCTAAATAAACCCTAAGCCCTAAACCCTAGACCCCAAAACCGAGCGCTTCTTAACCCAGACATACAGCCCACTCAAGACAAAAACCCATGGCTTGAGATCCGGAAGTCCGTTACCCTAAACCCCAGACCCCGCAGCCCAAACCCCCAAACCCAAAGACAGTATAATATAGGGGCCTCCATAGGTACCTATACTGTATATTTCTTTTTTTTTGGGGGGGGTTCCTTATTATGATCATAGTATAATATACCCCAAAATAAAACCCTATTCTAATTCGTAAGTCCCTTACATTTAAATTAAGCTCCCCCAGCGAAGACCTTTTTAGGTTTTAAGATTTGCTGTAGCAGACCAAACTCTATGGCATATGCCGCATATGCCTGCAGACCTTGCCAGCTGTGCAAGGATGTCGAAGCCGCCGAGCCGGTGGATCAAGATTCCGACGAGAGTCTTGGGTTGACTAGACGACTTGGAGGTTCATGGGTAGTTATATGTAGGGTCATAAGTAGGGTAACTGTAGTTATAACCGATATTAGGGGGCTTATAACCCCACTTATAACTACCCCTAAACCCTAAGCCCTAAAACCCCCTATAGAACCCTTTAAAGGAACCCTTAAAGGAACCCCATAACCCCACTTATAACTACCCATGAACCTCCAAGTAAGGCTTGGTAGAGCAGTTTTAGACGTTGTGATAAAGGTTGTTCTGGGGTTGGATGTTGTGGGGCTTGGGGTTTTGGGCAAATGCCGCCATAAAGTATCTCCCTAAAGCCTAATCATGAATCTGTTTGGATGTGGGACGGTAATGTAGGGAAAGTTCGAAAGGCTGTTCTCTGCTTGCCCCTATTTGTAGTATAGCTGCCGCACCTCGCAACCCTACAGTAACGCAGGCTTCCGTCCTATCGAAAGCCGGGCTGTGGCACACGAACTTTCGGATGTTGCATGGTGTTGGGACGACCCAGTTTGAGAGTGATGCACGGGTTGTTTTACAATAATTTGTCATATACTATCTAGATCTACCGATACATGTGCACATAGGTTGCCCGTGCACAACACTAATTCACTCTTTGACACAACTTCATACATAATCAGCCTGATTTATGACTTGCTGATCACGTGTGCTTCCTCGTCGGAAGGCAACAAGGCTTGGGGGGGGGTGCACCATCTATGATACTACTATATAATCACGGGCTTTTAAAGCATCATTTACCGACAGCCATGTCCCGCGAACCGAGGAATCCGGAGGTCGTTTCCATCGAAGCGCTGATTCTGGAGCGTTCCCGCCGTCGGCCCTCGTTTGGGGGCTCCTTGGTTGGCTCTGACACTGATGGTAGAAGCCAGACTGAAGCCGTCGATCGGCCAAGACCGTCACAAACAAAATTGGAGCGCAAGTCCACGGATATCAGCGACACTGGCCTGAAATTGGACGGGGACCACATTCGGGCAATAAGCATGCGCCGATCGCTGCGACAGTGGGGCTGGATATGGCGGCGGCCGATGTATCCTATGTCTGACCAAGGCCGCAGAGAGCTTTTGAAGTGGTCGCAGCCGGCATCGGGCTATGATGCCTTCTTGTCCCATTCTTGGCAGACCTGGGGTTTCTGGAAGTACCTGGCACTTACCCTGCACTCCTGCAGACGTTGGCTGCTGCTTTGGTGGTCCTTGTGGGTTTCTGCGGCCTTCCTTGCGTCCTACGCTTTGGACCTACCCACCTACACCCAAATCAGCCCGGAGACCCCCCGTTTCCACTGCCGCTGCGACACGGGGCCGTGGGTCGTAGTGAGTCTTGGCTTTCTTCCTTGTCCATTCTTGAACGTTTTTTTTGTTCTTAGACATCTTGGTTGGTGTTTCTGACAGTCTTTAACCCTATACTACCCCACAAGCCTCAAACCCAAAACCACAAACCCTAAACCCTACCTAAAGGGCTTTGTTTCCTCGGGGATTTGCCAAATGAGGACGGGCTTCGTCGCGATGGTCACGGGACTGCTTTTGGCGCCTTACGCACCCGACTGCTGCAGAGACTTGGCTTTTTGTTAGGGTTTAGGGTTTGGAGAACTTACCCTAAAGCCTGCTTTACGATTTCATTTCGTGCTATATGCTGTTGTAGGACTAATAAAGACTGCAACGACGTTACACAGTGAATAACATGCCGTCCTCGTAAACAGCAGTCATCAAGCCATTTTGACAAAAGCCGCCAAGACCCCATAACCTCACTTGAGAACGCTACTGACTCTACTTTCCAGACTCATACCAATGCCTCAAAGAAAGTACATGCTGTAAAGACATACTCTTAGACAAGACCCCCCCCACCTTCCAAAAACAATAACAATCTTCGTATCATCGACCATAAAACCGGAAAGAAGTTATTTCGCAGACACGCGACGCCAACGTCCAGTAGTCAAGGCATGTATGGTTTAGGGGTGCTGTGGGTTCAGGGTACAGGGTCTATAATATCTCAAACTTAAGGTTTGGGGTTTGGGGTTTATAAGTCGTCATACTTAGCTAAGGATATCATTGTAATCTTATTTCCTATTGCATACGCAAGGGGTTTCTGAAGCCTCTCAGAAGCCGTTCAGCATCCCGGCCACTCTACCCGATTCAGTGTTTGGGGGAACTCTAAATCGTAAACCTTAAACCATGATCACCAACACCATTCCATCGCGTTCTCTCTGGGCCCAAAACCCTATTCCATGTACTAAAGCCCTTTTTTCTGCTAAACACCCTAAACCTGAAGCCCAGCCCCAAAGCCTAACCCTAACCTAAACCCTAAAACCCTAAACCCTCCTAAACCCCAAACCCTAAAACCCTAAACCCTCCTAAACCCTAAATCCCTAAATCCCTAAAACCCTAAAACCCTAAACCCCTTTTTCCTTTCAGTGGCTAGGCCAGCCCGATCGTTGCTTCATGGATGCCGCCTGCATTCACCAGGCTGATCCGGAGCTGATTCTCGGAAAAAAGCGTAGGGTTTGGAGTTTAGGGGTTTAGGGGTTAGGGGTTTAGGGGTTTAGGGTTTAGGGGTTTAGGGGTTTAGGGGTTTAGGGTTGTGAGTCTCGGGAGACT